TNTTCTAAATTAATTCTTGAGATAAATTCTGCGATCCTTCCTGAATTTCCAAAGTAAAGCAATAGACAATATTTTAAGGAAGCTTAGTGTTCGATTTCCAGTGGTTCAGATTTTGAGCTGCAAGATAGTTGTTTATATATCCTAGCTTTAACAAAAGGAACGTCTTACTTTTATAAATGATTGATAAATATTCGAGCGAAATTAAAATAAAGTCATAGTTCTAATCAATCTGAGAGTGTTTGCATTGTGATTTCCTCAGTATCGATATCTTTAATTTCGATAATTCAGGAAAATTTCACGGAAAAAACATCGTTTTTATTTGTTCACACACTTATTATTATCTTCAATTTTATATGCTTTATTGTAAAAATAGTGCATTTTGGATAACGAAAAGGTAATAAAGAGGAAGGTAACAATTCTTTGTGTTTTAAATCAGGGAAATGAAAGTATTAACGATGGGTTGAAGTCACATAATAAATGGAGTATTAAGATAATATTTTCAATGGGTTGTTACAAATTAGTCTGATCTCAATAAAATTTCTCTTAAGATTGTTATTTAAAGTACTAAGATGGAATAATGATAGTTTTACATACATGATGCTGATTGTGAACATTTCTAATAGCATACGATTACCAGATGCCTTAGGCAACATGTAGTTCCATATCAATAAACAAAGAAAATTGGCGTTGTTTACTTTATAAGAGCCTTGTGGACTGGGTAATTAGAATTTGAGTTGAAATCAATATAAATATTACATATATATTACTATACTGTATATAGAAACATATACACTAATCTTTATAATTCAAGTGTTGAGCTTGCTATCTATATTCCGAGATAATAATGGAATAAATTAATCATGGCTACAATTACATTCAGTATATCGTGATGATATCACAAGGAAAAAATAATCCTAATTCAAAACTTGTTTATTGAAGTTTCATTCATATATTTTTCATTTACTTTAGCCAAATTAATTAGTTATAGGATAGTCATCAATGATACCAAAGTCTGCCGCTATTGAAATTATTAAGAGTCTGTTTAAATTATGACTAATAAGGTAACATGAATACTCAATAAACGATCTATTGAAATCAAATGAACGGCGGAAGGAGTTAGTTTGCTACATGAAAAATATGACTCTAACCCGGACTTACCTTTAAATTTTCCTTATGTTTATAGAATTCATTTTATCACCAGTGTTGATGCTCTTATCTAGGGAAATATTATAATTTGGATAGTTGCACTGCGAAAGCTAATCTACCAATTCAGCTAGAATGTACACAGATAATAGGTAAAACTTATTCTTGATTATTTAAATATTAATTAATACAGTAGCTCGTTTTAATTAGGCTACGACATATAAGTACTTTAGTTCATTTGTTATAGCACAATTTAGTATAAGACAGAATAACTTCCGGTTCAAACAGTTCAACAAAATATTCTAGCTAACCTTTATCATATACTGTAATTAATTAGACCTGTATTCATTCACCATTTTTAACGCCAAGACAGCGATAAGACTATATTTATTTGATTTGTTTAACACTAGCGATCTTATAAATGATTATTAAATAGCAGTAACTCTAAAATTATTGTAATTTCTATTCTTAGTAAAATTATGCCACTATCATTAAGCTAGATAACAGGAGATTACTTTCGACTCTTCACTTGCTTTCTTACTTTCTCCAATATTTAAATGCCGACTCATTCTTAGTGAGTAAAATGCTATGACTTCTTTGTCTGGCCGTTAATGCAAATTTTACGTGCCGATTCTCATCATTATCCAAAAAATAAAATTTTTTGTCCAGTACAAATCATAGAATAGCATTGGTGTAGCAAACTCCTAAAACTAAATTTGGTTTCCACGCATGTTTTATTATAATAATTATCATAGTGCTAAGTAAATGGAAACTCTTTTCTAAATAGAGCAATAGTTGCAATTTTCTTACGGACGAAATTCACTTTCCAATATCAGATCCTAAGTTAACTTAATAGCTGAATGAACACATTGCAATTTAACAGAGCTTTAATGGGCTGCATGAGACTCCGTATAATTAGACTTCTCTTGTTTATTCATCCACTAAGGATCCATCAAAATATTGCATTTAGAACTTTACTAAAGCCTAATCCTTTTATGAAGGGTTTTATCTCTGCCAAAGTGCTTACTTGCTCCTGGATTACATTCTAAAAAGAGTCTGTCTGGAATTTTACAGCTTTCAATCCAGCTATAATAATGTAATACACTAAATTATCTGCTTCAAATTTTCTGAGATATTAGCCTTAGGCAAGACTTGTCGAAAATATCATATAACGTAGTATAAGTTATAACATAGTATAAAAACTGCATTAGTAATGGTACAGGATATAGCCTTAAAAGAGTGAGTCTGAAATTTTACAGCCTTCAATCCTGTACAGTTATAATAATGCAATGCGCTAAATTATTCGCTTCAAATTGTCTGAGATTATAGGCCTGAGGCAAGGCATATCAGAAATACGACATAAGTTACTATAGTAATATTGAACATAGTTCCATTGATAGGCAATAGAACCGGATTTAATATTGGAACTTTTTTAACTAATAATTGACTGCCAGACTTTATAAGCATACAAACATCAGATACTGCATTTCACTCATGGGCTTATGTAATGGAAATCCATGAACACATTTCAGTTTTCATTTTTTCACATTTCAGTTTTTCATTTTACAAAATCATTTGATTAATCCAGGCATTATCTGGATTCTATGAGCTGAAGTCATAATATGGTAATTGTATGCTAATTTTAGCTATTTTATGTACTCTAAGCACAATGCAATCGATCCATTGTATTGGATTAGGCAAGGGTTAGAGGAACAACATGTAAAAGATCTCTTGTAATATAGGGGCAATAACAGCTTATATGGAAAGTTTATAGAATAAAGAGACAGGATTGAAACAGTACAACACACCGTGCCTGGAGACCTACCATGAATGTTAGCGAAATTAGAGTTGGCTATAAGTACTAAAAGAGGCTAATTATACTGAAACTATTTGGAATATCGTCGATAAAACTAATTTTACTGATAGTGCACCTGCAAAGAGATTAATTTATATTGAATATTGTCTGCTTTCAATCAGTTATTATACTGTATGTCAAGATTGAGATTATGGAGGATGAACCCGCCGTGTCCAAATTCAATCAAGAAATCCATTTCTTCTATTTACAAGGTCAAAAATGTAATACAGCTAACGATTACCAAAAGGCACAAGAATATTTTGTACAAGCCCTGGATAAAATTAATTCTCTGTCAAGTGTTACCAATGAAATGGATCTACTAAAATGTGAAATTTTGAATCAAATCGCTGAAATGAATGTAATACAAAAAGAGTGGGTAAAAGCCAATGAATTCGCTCAAAGGGCTTGTAATGTAGCTGAGAAATTGTCACAACTAGCCATGATTGCCAAGTGTTTGGATATGCGAGGCGGTGTTAAATTGCTACTTGGCGATGCAAATAGTGCACTCGATGACTTTAAGAAGGTACTCGGTATTAAATTAAGGTTTTCTGGAGATACTACAGAAACTGCCTAATTATACGAAAGCATTGGAAATATCCTTCGTGCAAGCTAAATTTAAGGAAGCTCTTTCCATGCTGAAAATGAAACTTCAAGTTCAACAGCGAATCCTTGAAGAAAATGATCCTGCTATTGCTGAAACATATAGAAGCATTGGATTCATCTATAAAAGGCAACGCAAGTATGATGATGCTCTATTGATGTATACAAAGTCGCTCAAAATCAATATTCAGAGAATTGGAGAAGAACATCTCGATGTTGCTGACACCCATTACGATATGGGAGAAGTATACAAGAAGCAGAACAAGCTAAGCGAAGCTCTTTCTTCGTATCGTAAAGCTCTTACAATTTATTTAACTTTATTAGGTGATAAGCATCCTAAAGTTGGAATCTCGTACAGGAACGTTGCCTATGTTCTTGATGATCAGTGCAAAATTGATGAGGCTCTTTCTATGTACGAAAAATCGCTTGCAATTCAATTGACGTCGGTTGGTGAAGATCATTTAGATACCGCATTACTATATACTAATATTGGACGGATCTACGGTCTTCAAACCAAGTTTGATCAGGGAATTTCCTCACATCAGAAATCGCTTAATATTAAGTTAAAAATACTTGGTGACAGTCATTTAGATATTGTTGATTCTTATAAAGGCATGCGACGTCTATATATCAATAAGCGCAATTTCATGCAGGTTTTATCCTTATGCAAAAAGTCTCGTACAATTCTAATAAAAGTATATGGAGAATATCATAACAGTGTAGCGGACTGCTATGTCGACACAGCAGTAGCGTATCATGGGTTGGGTAAGTATGATAGTGCAATTTCAATGTACGAAAAGGCCAACAGAATTTTTACTCATATTCACGGAGAAAATCATCCTTACCTTGCCAGTACTTATACAATGATGGCAATTTCATATGAAAACCAACATCGATACAATGATGCTGCTTCTATGCAACAAAAAGCTACCAGTATTCGTCAAACACTACAAGATGGTAATGCCAATCAATTATTCGCAAATCAAGGTAATTTCTGTTTATTTAAACATAATTTTCAATCATTACATGGATAACATTTTCCCTTTAAGACACACGATATCTAT